TTCTCTGTGAAACTTACCCCTGCATTTGGCTTGATCGCTTGCACCTTTCTTGACATAATGTCACCTTTAGTCTGGCTTGGCGTTTGTGAAGTGGGTTAAGCCAAGATGTACTGATCAAGCTCCAGACAGGCTTTAACTCATATCCTTGATTTGTAAAATAGGCCTCTGCTCCAGTTCTATTAATGGCTTCCATATTTACAGGCTGCTCCTCATTTGCCAACAAAAAATGCCAAATTGTATGCTCTGTTTTGGCAAACCTGGGAACTGTACTATGATTGGCTCAGGAACCATGAAGTAATAGGGAACTAGAACTGAAAAAGCAAAAAACAGTGGTGAGTGTATAAACTGCTGTCTCTGCTAAGCCTCATATGATCACAGAGAGTCTCATCCATCTTGCAGCCAACAGTGACAAGAGCAATACAAGGGGAAACAAATATCTAATAGACTGTTAACCATTCTCCTGCGATGGATTGGCGACCTGTCCAGGGTGTACCCCGCCTCTTGCCTGTCGACAGCTGTAGATAGGCACCAGCACCCCTTGCGACCCCTCTTTGGATATAGAGTGTAAATAAAATGGATGGATGTTAACCATTCTGCTGTCAAATAATACTGTGGGGCATCACACTCAAGAAATGACATTAAAGATCAAGTCATTGTAAGAGTCATGAAATGTGGAAGATTTTCCCTACAACTTGATGAGTGCACAGATATCTAAGGGAAGGCACAGCTGCTGGCCTTTGTGAAGTACACTACAGCTACAAAATGAAAATGCACAAAAATTTGTTCATCAATCAAAGGACCATGCACTTTTGAACAGTAACAAAATGATTGGCTGAAATGGAATAGCGGTGCATCTGTGTGCATGGATGGACCTGGAGCTATGCAAGGGCAAGAAAAGGTTTGAGGGCCTCCCTTGTGGAGGTAGCCTCCGATGTGAAATTTCTGCACTGCGTGATCAACGGGAAAGCACTTGCTGGAAGGTGTCTTGAGCCAGAGCTTTGTAATGTTCTCCAAACATCAGTTAAACTTGTTAATTTCGTCAAATCCAGACTACTGGAAGGAGACTTTTTGCCACATTCTGTAATGCAATGGCCTCAGACCACAAAGAACTTCTCTTTCACACAGAGGTCAGGTGACTTTATTATGACAAAGCTTTAATGATGCTCTGAACAATTTGAAGGGGTCCACATATTTTTTTTATCAGACTTTAATTCTCCCCTTTATGACTATCTGACAGACCCAAAGTGGGTTGTGAGCCTTGCATATTTAGCCAGCATTTTTGTCAAACTAAAACATTTAACTTGTCTCTACAAGGCCCAAATGCAAATTTCCTTGGTATCTCTGATAAGGTCACAGCATTTTAGAGTGAGCTCAAGCGGTGGGCTATTCAAGTGAATAGGGGAAGCATTGCAATGCCCCCGAAGCTGGAGGACTTCATGGAGCACTATGAAATAATTTAAACTATGAAACAAGTTATTGCATGTCAACTAAGCAGCCTTCTTCAAAGTCTTGATATGTAGTACCCAAATGACGACACGTCGGGAAAGTACAATTGGATATGCCATGTAAGGCTGTAACCTCCTTCACTGTGCTTCATCTATCATCAAAGTTGCCTGGTCAACCTCTCCTCTGATCTCACATTACAGACTGCTTTCTATACATGAATGCTGGAAGAATTCTGGTTACCAGGACTTGTCTCCTACCCCTTCTTATGCTCTCCACTGATCAGAGGTGCTTGGGTCTGCTGGTGCACTGATGGTTTTCTAGGTATTTGGTTGGTTACTTCGGGGCTTTCTCATTCTCCTGGTGGCTGACGGGCTGGACCTGACCCTCCTAGACCTGAGGGGTCCCTGCTTGGGCATGGTGTGCCCCTGGGCCTTGGCCCCTAGTCTCTCATCCGGGTCAACCTTGAGTGTTACCGGCCAGCGGCGGAGCCCATGAGCTCGCTGCCCTGACCCTGTGCGACCTAGGCACTATGTTCTCTGGCCCCTCAGGGACTAGGCCATTTCACGTTTTTGCCCTCCGGGGTCGGGCTCTGGGTGCTCTCATCTGCCCTTCTTTGGTGAGTGCAGCCATCCCTTTGTCTGCCCTCCTTGTGTCCCAGTTATCTGGACTGCTTCTGGATATCTGGGGTCAGGTTCACCTCTTTATCAGTCATGAACCCTAAAGGGTTAGTCTGGGGTCACTCACACCTGCTATTAAGCATCCTTCTAAAGAAGTTTTTTAAATCCTTAGTAGACTAGTATCCTCATGCATATATACCATGGGAGTTTGATTTCAGGTGCCCATTGATACACACTAATACTAGATACTAGTAGTAAGCCATAGCTACAGATTTATACCACCCTGTATAATATTGTTTAATACCCATAGGTGTTTCCTTCCACACAGTTTGCTATCTAAGGATACCAGCTGGTCTTGAAGCTTTTTCTTGATGTTTACTTTAGTTGTCTTCTTTAAACTGTTGTTATGTTCTCTGTTTCTTTCATCTACAAGTGTGGAAGTAAACTTCTAGGAGTTACTGTATGTCTTTTGCGTTGTGTGTTTTGAGTTATTTTTTCTCCATTCATGCGCTCCTTTCCATCTCCGTTGTATACAAAATTACTCCCGAAATAATTTTCATTAAAATTTCATATACAAATACCAAGCAGAACCTTGTGGCCATAATGGTCTACATGTGAAAGCATATCTGTTGGGTCATCTATTCCCAGAGCTATATTAGCACAACAGGGCACCAAAAAAAAAAAAAAAAACAGAGACTTCTGGTTGTCAGTAGTAACAGCGATGTCAAAAGCTGCAACTGATGTACTGTTTCCATTTGCATCCACATATCTGCACTGACATACATGAAAAAAAAAATACAGATCTTGACTCCTCTCGAGTGATCTCTGTGTGGCCCTGTCTGACATAAAGCCAAGAAAAAAGCTGCTCTGTTCATACAAGCAGGCTGAATCATCACATTAAGTAGTTGCTGAAAACATCTCCACTTTTTTCCAGGAATCTTTTTTTTTTCTCACTTAACCTCTCAGAAAAATAGTGTTGTTTAAAATTAAAGATGGGCTGTTTCCCAGTGTTGTGGGGGTCGTGGACAGCAGTGCCTTTTGAAGTTATGGATCATGACTCCAAAAAATTAAGAACACCTGCTCCACATCAACACAAATTTAATTCTAGTGATAGGTTTTGCAATTGAGATAACCAAAACACTACTAAAAAGAGGATAGAGACATTTTCTTAAAGAGATGATGATATGTGACAGCTCAAATCTGGATTTAGATGACCCTTTTCATAATATTTATTATCAAGAGCCATTGCGAAGGGTCCAAAGAACCGTTTGCGGCTCCTTGCCCGATATAGTATATTTACTCTAGGAGGTTTTCAGACCAACTTTGTTTGTTTGTTTTGTTTTACTACAGCACACTACAAAATGTAAACTAAGTTTTAAAGGAATAGTACACCCAAAACATGATTAGCCTTCATTTTCTACTCACCCCCATGCTGAACAACACTCTGGAGTACTTTTTTGA